AAAGTTCCTATGTATAAAGTAGTTGGTGATTATCACATACGTAAAGAGCGTGTTCTTGATATATGGCATAATTGTGAACGTTTTCAACAAGGTGGAAATTATGAGCAGAACCCAGTATCTTTAACATATAATTTAGATATAGGGACTTAATCCATAAATCACAACACATATTCTATAGAAACTCCTATTATTACTTCGGATGGACATATAAAGAAAAGAAAATCAAAATTCAAATCCGCTCGAATTTCTGACTCACCTAGTATTGTTAGTGAAGCTGACACAATCAATGTTGCAGATACGATAGCATCCCCACATTATAAGACAAAAAAAGTAGAAGGAAAAGATGACATGTATACTTTAATCGAACGTGGACGCAGAGAAGCAGAAGAAACAGAAGAAGCCAAACGCGAGTCTAAAAGATTTTTAAATCTTAACTAATCTATCTTTGCCTTTTCTGTATTGGTATTGGCAACCTTCTCATAAGAGTCTTCAGGCTTATTTCTATGAAGTCGCAATTTTTTATTGAGTTCGATTAATTTAAACCTGGAGTTGAGAACTTCATATAGTAATTTTTCCAGTTCCTTATAGCTCATGCATTTTTTTTTTAAAGTCGAATCGTCAGAATCTAGAGGCAGAGCTCCATTGCTTTGCAATAAGCTAAAACCCGCTGGAGCACACCATTTCTCGAATGGTACATTGTCATCTCCATCCTCATCCGTCTCCTGTGAAATTTGATCGGATACCAGAGACTTATCATCCTGAATTGCAGTAGCGCAATTTACTTCGAGCTTGTTCTTGACCTTGATCATATTTACAGAGATAATGTGGTCTTTTCTATTAAAAGGAATTTTTAACTTATTTTTGGCCCAATCTATAGCACATTTGTATTTTTTAAGATGTGGATTTGGAAATAATAATATTGATTTAGGAGTTCTCACAACTATATAATCTTCACGTATGGTAAAACCTGGAGGAAATGTTATTGGTAAATTACAGGTAATGCCAATAGATTCCGTTGGAACAGTGGCGGCCCCACTGAGATTATATTTTTCTGATTTATCAATTTTTCCACCTACACGTTTAACAATATCTTCTGATATAATTACAGGTTTAGCTCCACTATCAATTACCATTGCTGGAATTTTTAAGTGCTTGATTTTAACTGGTATAGTTGCAATACTTGTATTGGGTTCTTCCTTTTTAACAAAATCAATCTCCATAGGATTATCTAACATCTCCTCTTTTCCATCCGAATTGGGTATTTCTGAAGTTGGCTCTCGATAATTTGAGAAATCAGATTTTTTGGTAAATGAATACATATCGGATGAGTTCTCAATTTTAATTTTGAGTTTCTCTATCCAATCTATGAGTGCAATGCCATCAAACATTTCTAATACAATCTTTTGGAGAGACTTATCAGTGGAGCTGGCACGGCCAATAACAGTCGATTTATTTGAGACTTAGCAGGAGTAGAAGTGTCTTTTTTTGTTTTACGTGATTTGAACTTCTTTTTAGATGACGATTTATGTGCCTTGGCACTATTTCCTTGAAATGACTCTCCGAGTCTAGCTCTGCTATTCGAATTGCCCTTCTGCTTTACTTTTTTTTTGTTCTGGCAGTATTGATAAGTTTCGTAATTTCGGTATTAGTTAAGTCACCCTTAGAATCGGAATCCGTTTCAGAACCAGCTGAGGATTCTTCAGAATCAGATTCCGTCCCAGAATCAGTATCAGATTCATTATCAGAAGAGTTAGTATTCGAACCTGATTCAGAACTCGAATCTACAGTAGCAAGATTAACATTACCTTTCTTCTTGGATTTGCTTTTGCTGGAGCGACTAGACTTGCTCTTCTTTTTATTTTTACAATTGCGAGAATTATGGTCAGTTCTACCACACTTTGAGCAATGGTGTTGTGATTTCTTAGCTTTTTTAACAGCATTGGTTACATGCAATTTTAATTGTCTTTTTGTGAGATTGGCTAGTTCTTCGTCAGAGTCAACTTCTATATTCTTTGAACCATTCCCTCCATTTTTCTTGGGTAGGAGAGATGAAATTTTATCAATTACTCTTTTACTAATTGTTTCCATGAGAATTTGTAGGTAAGTTGTATTGTTACCTGTGGCGCTGAGACGATCTAATGTATTATCCATCCAAAGTCATTCTTGATCATTCAAACGCAAATTTGGATCTCTATATGTTTTACCCACTTCCATTTGACTAGGTCGTACTAATTCTCCACCTTGTAGTTGATGACCTGATTGTATAGAAACAGATTGAGATTGTGAAGATGCCATTATATTTTTTACCATATTTTCAATTTCTTCTGCGGTCAAACCTGTATTACTTGTTATATAAGGATTTTTTGTACTAGCTTTAGATCGTGATCAAGAAGTTACGGGATGAGATTCAGGATTATAACCACCTAATGTCAATTCAGCTTTATTCTTTTCAATTTCTTCTAATTTTGGTAATAAAGTAGAAAGTGAATTTTCAAGACCAATACAAGTTAGTTCCAATTTATTTTCATTTAAAATCCCTTTAAAAAATTGCTGTCTAATCATTACTTCTTGATTCGTCTCTGGTAGTGTTGGATATGCAAGCTTAACCAATCTTTTCAATCTCGCATAGAAACGATTTACTGGTTCAGAACCTTGAACTAAAGTTTGAAATAGTATTTCCGATTTTTGAGCAGTGATGATGGCGAACGCATGCCTGAAATGATCTATTATCTGACCAATCCGAATACCTGGAGCTATAATATTACTATTGTTGACAGCATTAGGTGCATTCGGACCCAAGTCAGTAGGTTGACTGTTCGATATTAACCAGTCTTCATCCCATATTGTATGAGTTGGAACTAATGGTGTAGCGAGTAGGTTATTATCAGCAGGAGCAGTGTCTCGAATGGTACGGGCTCGCCCTCTAAACCTGTCAGCAGCAAGGGCGCGTATTGCATTGTTATTTAATGCATTAATAACACTGAGATCTACATGCGTACCAAAAGTAGCACTAAGATGTTGTAATTCCCAATTTTTACCTTTGACATTGGTCTCATACCAGTCTTTTGCGTAATCCTCAAGACAAGACTCAAAAATTCCTTCGATTCTGATTTACATAGCACGCCCAACAGCTGGGTCATAATTAGCACATTCACACCATTGGCAAAAATCTGTAATAAATTCTTCTGGATCTTCACCTGCCGTTCCATGAAATTTGGGTAGTTGGTATCCTGCCATTCCTCTATATTGATTATTTATAGGTGGATTATTCTAAAGCGCAAAAATTTGTTGATTCAAATTCAAAATTAATTGTTGGGAATCATGAGTTTTATTTTTCCATTTTTCATATCTTGGGACAACACGATCATACCAAAATTGAAGGAAAGCCTTATCATTATGACATTGTCGCAATTGTTGTACTTGCAAATGATATTCGCATCTATAATGTCGTGCTCTATTATTTGCATCTTGCCATAATGTATGTCCTCTATTCATAAGAATTAAGCGTCTAACTCGCAGAGCAATATTTATTAACCAGCTATACGCATCTCCTCTTTTAAAATGACATTCTTATCTTCTAAATACAATTGATCTGCACCATCATAGGCCATATTTTTGTGTATCCCCCTAAGAGTTTCTTCTTGTTGAAAGCATTCCGTTCTGTATCGATCCCTTTCATTTAGAACAGTATCATAACGACCCTGCAACTGATTGGCCCTTTGATACCAATTTCGAGCTTCATTCCCCAGTTCATCTATCCGGTCTCTCTACTCGTTTATAGTTATTTGGAGGCGCCCTATTTCTGTCTCATATTCTGGAGCCAGCCCTTCTCAGAGTTGCCTATTTTCATACTCATACGCGTGGCACTTGTTTTGTATCTGTATAAGTTTTAATTCGATCTGGATCTGTAGATTATCAATTTCGTCGTTTAACAGATCATTCTCACCTCTAACAGAATCAAATAAGACCCTAATATTAGTTTTTGTTTCATCTATCAATGTAAAGACATTAGTTGACGTGCTTGAGGTGGTTAGTGACATCTCTCCTCTTATTTTTTGAAGTCTATGTTGGAGCAACAAAATATCTTTACACATTTCTTCTAATTGGAGTTCGAGAGCAGATAAAATTTTTTCCTTGAATTGGACATCTGCCTCTACTTTCCGAAGTCTTATTTTGAGATTATTTACCTGTATCTGGAGAATGTCGATCTCATCATCCCTTGTAGTGATTTCTTTCTCCAGGTAAGTAATATAATCCACATTTTTCTAGATCTGAATGCGTAATTTCTTAATGGTTATATACGTGTTGCCCAAATCCCAAATCATTTGGGATTTGGGACGCCAAAATCCCAAATTACTAGTATTTGGGATT